GTTCACATTAGCATGATCTGCTGGTGACACAATTTACTCTTCAAATCTTGATATCTCCCCAAAGCAAACTGTCGTTTGACAGATCGTAATCTGACAGGCGAAGCTTATCTTTGGTGAAAGTCTGCTCAGCGCTTCAGGCTTCAATAATAAAACTCGCAGTCTGAGTGATTCATATTAGCATGCCGCAGGAGTTATTGTTACCTGTGAGAGAGATGTTAAAGTGGATGAGGTTCTCTGACTCGCTTTAGCGTTCAGTGGTAAGAGGAGCTGTCTGAGAGTGAAGTGTTTTACTCTTAATCAATCCAGAGAGACGGATTCACCTTAAAGTCTTCTTCTTCATATCTGACTGTGACTCTCACTCACACTTGTTGCCTCTGCTTCCACAGTGCCTGGAGCCCTGCAAGGATTCCTGGGAGATGAAAAGGAAAAGCAACTGCAGAGAGATGTGTGAGGTATGACGGGTGGGAGCCGGGAGTTTTTATCTATATGTGGAATGACTGATTTCACATGCAGTCTGTTAAAGGAGCCATATGTAAGTTTATATAGCTAATGTTAGCAAAAGAAGCTGGAGAAACTTTCCTTCCCTGTCAAGAGCTGTGACAGAAACCAGTTCCAATGTTAAAACTTTTTTCTATCACCTCTTGTACTCTAAAGTTTACATGCTACCCAGCTAGCCTTGCCCCATCCCATCACATCTGGTAGGAGGACTTATCACCTACAAATTTCCCCTGTCCACATGAACTTGTTTTCACAAAGCAGAGCTGGAGATGACCATAGGTGATAGGAATCCAATGCTAACACCTCTATGTCAGTGATTCCAGGGTTGAACTGGCAAATTAATGGGGTGGATGTCCCTCAAAAAGCCCTTGATCGCCCCTTGTTGGCCTTAGTCACAACCGTCTCGGTGTGCCAGCCATTCTGGGTGCATATAAGATCTTTGTAGGTCTTGACATTTGATGGTCTTGATGCTAATCTGTTTTCCTCTGACCCATCCAGAGGGTGTTTCCCAAGAAGCACTGGGAGTGCGTCACCAGCTGCGAGTTCCTCCAGTCAGTGCAGGCGACGAAGCAAGGCAGCTGTCCGCCTCCAGAGAGAGCCAGCGGCTTTGCCGCCGCTTGCGTCGAGAGCTGCGACCACGACCAGGAGTGTTCGTCTCAGAAGAAATGCTGCTCCAACGGCTGTGGCCACACTTGCCAGGCTCCCAAAGATCTCTACAAGGGTAAGCTGAGCCAGAACTGGCCCAGGATTCATATCAAACTTAAAATCATAATGTTAATAACACATTTTAAAGCAGCATCTGGACTTGGATCAATGCAAAATTGCCAGTGTGATTTGGTTAAAATACTATTTCATGTTCAATAAGCAGCAAAATTAGACCAATCAATCAATCAAATATTTGAAAATATGTGTATATGTTTGAATCTTTTTTATTATTATATCAGAAAACTGCAGTTTTATTTAATTCTTTGAGCTTTACTCACCATGACATACTTTAACTGCTGTGAACTTCCTGTCAGCCTGAATAAGATGTTATACCAGCCTCCCTTGGGCCTTTCCTCAGACAAATGAGGTGAGGTGGTCCGGGTGGAAAATCTCCCGCTGACGGCTCTGATTCTGAGTCAGGTGGAGCTTGGCCTACTTAGGTCTTCATTGTCAGAGGAGGGATCAAAGCGAGCAAAAGCAGAGTAGATTCTGAGAGCCTGCAGCGGGATGTTCAGGTAACACGAGTGGTGGGAAGAAGAAGGAACTGATTTTGCCTTCTCACACAAAAACACTGTGTAAGCTGTAAATCCCAGGACGCTGAGCAGACTGAAAGCTGGATCTCCCTGTTTGTGGGGATGAAGCAAATTTTAATCATAAACATATCCTGATCTCTTCATCCATGGTGATCATCTCTGGTTTGTCAATGACCAACAGGTGTCCCTCTGAAGCCGAGGAAAGAGCTGGGCTTTGAGGAGCTCTCCTCCGGTCTGCTGGAGGTCCGCTGGTCTTCCCGATTCAACATCTCCGCCGAGCCCGTGGTCTACGTCCTACAGAGGAGGTGGAACTTCGGCATCCAGCCCAGCGAGGACGCCGCCACCTCCTGGCAGGTGGTCGCGCAGGTTAGCCCCCGATTCATGACCTCATCGCAAATCTGGATCCCTAAAGAAACCGAGGATGACGGAACAGCTCGCGCCTCGTGTCTTTAATCCACCTCCTTCTGTGTCGCCACAGACCACGGAGCAGGGAGCGAGGCTGTCGACACCCGGCCCGGGCGCTGGTACCAGTTCAGAGTGGCAGCTGTCAACACACATGGGACCAGAGGTTTCACCACGCCCAGCAGGCACATCCAGTCCAGCAGAGGTCAGACCTTCGCCCTCGGAGATGGCAGATCATGTGCCTGTTTGTCTGATGCCAGAAGCAAGATAGGAAATAACTTATGGTCACTGAGACAAGACTAGAAATAAGTGCTCAAATCTCCCACGGTGTGTGTGACCCTGAAGTTACAATACATGATAATACCCTGTCCCCTCCCCCTCAGACCCCTCGAATCCTCCGGCTCCCACCGATCTGAGAGTGGCCAACATGACCTTCGGCCCCGGCAGGACGGTGTCGGCCAGACTCCAGTGGAGCGTACCAGATGACCTGGACGTTCCCATCCACCACTACAAGGTCAGCTGGAGCTGGACTGCAGTGGGACAGTCCTCGGCTTCGTCCCTGACCAAGAGGAGGAAGACAGTGCGAGAGGTGAGGACGGATGGATGTTAGAGAGCGCTGGAAACTGTCCCCCAGAGAACAATGCACATGATTAAATCTCCCGTGTGTGTGTGTGTGTGTGTGTGTGTGTGTGCGCAGAGCCAGGTGGAGCTGGACAGCATGCGGTCTAACAGGAGCTACAGCGTGGAGGTCCAGGCTGTGTCCTACTGGGGACAAACCCAGCTCAAGGGGCCACGAGCCGTCCTGCACTTCACCACACAGCGTAGTACGTCTCTTCTTGACTTTAAAACACGCTGCAGTCGCACTTAAAAAGCTTTTGTATGAACTTTACTTTTGCTTTTCATGGTGATATTTGAAAAAAAATCACCTTTGGGCTTTAAATATCTAACAGTGCATCTTTAAATGTTTGATCCTTGGAGCTGAAAAATCCTTTAACTGTAATTCAAAATGTCACAGCGTTCCTTCCAAATCACAGGCTGACATTAAGAAGGAGGAAAAAAAGAACACAAGTTCTCACCAATTACAGTTTCATTACAAGACATTCATTATAAAACAATGGAACTGATTGGTCAGTGGCCACATCATGCATTCAGGTCTGGACAGAAGTACCACTTCTTGTTTAAAGGCTAGACACATTGCTTCATTGCGAAGATAAACATGATGTAATGCTGGCGATATTGACCTCTCATGGTCCCCAGAGGTCAGATACAAATGTTTCTGTTGTCATAAGTCAAACCTTTGGGTTTTAGAGTGTGTTCTGAAAGTTTAATGCTTCCCTTATGAAATGCACATCGTCGATTTGCTCCATTAATTATATTGTGTCTGTTCTGAAGGCGTCGGTCTGGCTCCCAAAAAACCTTCAGGGGACACCCTGGATGTGGGGACGCCGTTCTACCAGGACGGACAGCTCCGGGTTCATGTTTACTGGCAGAGCAGCACTGGTAAACCCTGCATGTACAGTCTGTATTGTGTGAATGGGATTGATTAGTCTGTGATTGGCTGAATTTATGTAACCATCCATGAGAGCAGGGGGGGGAGTTCATAGTTTCAGACTGCCAAAGGCTCCCCTCCCCAACGTACAGTATACATGCCCCTGAGCTGCTGTGAATCTGCCATAAAGATAAACAGTCTGTCCTCCACTGAGAAACAATGGAGAGCTGTGTGTTGTTCACAAAGACAGGTGTGTGTGCTTCAAAGGCTGCTCCTGATGATGCAACACAAAAGCACCTTGTTAAAGGACAACAGAGACGCACAAGTAGCATGTACTTACAGGACTTAAAGGTCCCATGTTGTATGAAGGTGGAGATCAATGTGTTCTTTTAGTACTCTGTTAATACTCTAATAGTATTAAAGTGTTCAGGCCACAAAGAAAAGCACACAGCCGGAATTCATTTTGTGATTGGCTGAGCCCTCAAATGAACCGCAATGAATTCTGTAAGTTTGTGATGTCACAATGAAGCCATCACATAGAAATCCTGCAGTCTGAGTGGTAGATTCTGTATCTGCTTGTTATCATATTTAACCGAAGCTGTGTCATGTTTCACTTTTCAAGAATATGTTATGGAGATGTTCTTGTTCATGTCCCTCAGAGGATGAATCCTATTGGCCGAGGTGATCCCCTGACTTTTTTGTTGTTTGCGTAGATCCTTCAGTGGAATTCTACAAAATCCACTGGGGTCCAGAGTACTGTGCACACAATCAGACCAGACCCCAGGAGAAGACCAACACACAGGTAACACAAGCAGAAGGTCACACTGATGAATTATTATTATTCATCTGGACTGAGATGTGATATTTTCTGGAATCATCTTCCAATCGCCATGATTGTTTTTTGTTTTTAATCCAGGGGAGCTTTGTCAGCCTGCAGGGTTTGCTCTTCGCCTGCAAGTACAAGGTCCTCCTCCAGCCAATCAGCAAGAAGGGTCGTCCTCTGGCGGAAAGCACCAGCTTCTTCACTCCTTCCTGTGCCGCCATTCAGGCCAAGAGTCCAAAATCCATCTCCTGTCCTGGAGAAACAGGTGAGACGGCGGAAGCCTTGGGTGCTGAAAATACATATTCACCATTCACCACCACAGACAGACCCCCACCCAAAAAAACAAATCTTTTTTGGACTTTTCCATTAAAAGAAAACATTTTAATGTATTTAAGTACAGAAGGAATTTGTTAAAGAGAGAAGAACAACAAAGTAAAACTCGAAAAAACCCACTTCCTAAAGGAAATTGCATGTGAATGCTGAAAGCTGAATGTCATTGCTGAAGCAATGCTGAATTAGCACCAGAAATTGCCAAAGAGAGCAAGCAGCATGAAACAGACAGGAGTTGAACCCATGACCTCATGAGCAGCAGTCTGATGCACTAACCACTCAGCCACAAGGACATAAAGCTGAAAGTTTTTATACCATGGTAAATCAAAGACTGTTTGATGATAGCTGAATAGTTGAAAGTCTTACGAACATTTTACAATTTTAATCAAGTCTATCGCTAAAAGTATGCAAAAGTAGTGAAATCTGAAAGAGGCAGAAGTTTTGAAGACTGTGCAGCAAACTGTGGCAGCACTGATGAATGACTCTGATGTACCCAACTGAAGGCAGGAGAGGGGGGGTTCTCTACTTTGTCACTGATGTGGCATTTGGAGAGCTCAGGGCTGCTGCTGTGAAATCCAGTAGAGGGCAGGGCAGGACAACAAATGACAGGTAAAGCGTCTGCAAATCAATCATGAGCTGTGCTTTGTCTCTGCGGCACGCTTGGTGCTCAGTTTCCTAGCATTTGAATGTGAGAGCAGCGGTGCAAACAAGAAGCATCTTAACATCAAAACAAAAGACAAAGACGTAGAGAGGGAAGTGTGGCAAGGACGCAATATCAAGGTTGTTGAGGACAAGATTCAAACCTGCAACCTTGGCGGTGCCAAGCACACATGCTAACCTCTGCACCACAGTGACTTCACAACATGACAGGAGTTTTACACTGTTGTGAATCACAGATGGTTGAATGATAGCTGACAGCCAAGCAAAATAGTAAAAAAACAGCCATCATGTGGAAGCAGAGGACTTGTGTGTGAGCTGCGACTATTTTGTGCTGAATTTAAACAAAGTAAAATGCACATTCCAGCAAATTACAAACTCTGGCCCCAGTCGCTCTGCTCTGAAGTGTGATTTGTGGCTTCAGTGACAGAATAGTCGCTTTTTGCCTTTCTTGCACTCTTGCACACTTTTAAAGGCTATATCTCAATAATGGTACAAGATATGAAAAAGCTGTCTAGAAGTTCAGCAGATTAAAAGTTTTTGAACATTTTAAGAGTTTAATGAAGCCTGTTGGTGAAAGGATGTGGAAGCAGTTATGGTTGAAAGTTGTTGGAGAGTTTTTAGAGTTTGAGGCCTGCTCCAGTGCATTTCCTATGAGAGAAAAAATGCAGAAAAAGCTGAATATTAGAAAAAGTATAAAGAGTATCAAAACATTGAAAAATAAAAAAGTATGCAGGACAAGTTAGATGACAAAAAATGGCAGAAGAATCCAGAATACTAATGAAGAAAATGGCTTTCAGCATTCACACTAATGATGTTGAAATGGAGAAGAAACCATCAGCATGTTCTGGTTTGTCTTTGTCCTTGGCGGTCTGCTTGGTGCCTCCAGCCTCCTGCGAGCTTCATACTGTCAAGACCATGTCATAACAACTCACTCCCCACCCTGTCCTCATTCAATGCCCCCTCCCTGCCTGTCCGTCTTCCTGCAGTGTCCCCTCAGAAGGTCCTGGTGAAGGCGGCCAACCTGACGGCTTCCTTCGAGGTCCTGGGAGGAAACGTGACGGCCATTTTCAGCTGGGATTTGTCCAGGGTGCCGCTCCACCAGCAGCTGACCGGTTTCCAGGTGACCTGGGCGGAGGTCATCTCCAGTAACCACCACAACAACAACAAGCTGCCCCACAGCCTCATCTCCCAGTCCCAGATCCTACCCCCGGTCAGTACTGGAAGAAGTTACAGGTCGTGCTGTTGGGCCAGAACCACCATCTAAATGTTGTTAATAATAATGAGCAGTCTCTCTCAACATCAACCCTAGCTTGAAATAAGAAAAAAAATTGACATCAAAATGTTGAGATCATTTCATAGGACTTTTGAAAAGAAAAAAAAAAAGTAAGAAAGAGCAAAAACAAAGAAAGTGCTGCCATGAAACAGGGAATTTTCCCTCTTAACTTTTCTTTTTCTTGTGTCACTTCAAATCTAGAAACGTTATTGCAGGTTTGATTTCATTCCATTTTAACATTCGTTAAAGACTCGGGAAATGGTAAAATTACCATGTTCCCTGTTATTTTCCCTCCGGCTGAGGTCCTCTGTGAAATATTTGACTTTTAATGTAGATTCAGATATGTATTTTTCCCTGCATACAAATCTCAGGGTCCACTGGGCTGACAAACACTTTAAAAAACCGCTTTCGTTCGCAGCTTTCTCACAATTTCACACACCTTGAGCATTTCGAACTCCTCCTCCTGTTCCTCACTATTTGTCTTCCTTCTCTCTTTCTCTCAGGATGGTAATGTGCTGGTGGTCTCAGGCCTGCACCCTGCCAGTCTGTACAGGCTGGAGGTCCAGGCCATCACAGCGGAGGGCGAAGGTCCTGCAACCAGCCGGACCTTTCAGACCCCTGGATACCAAAGTGCCCCGAAACACAGTAAGGGAAAACAAAACAAACAAAAACACCATCCACTGCAATATGGATTAAGTTTTTTTTGGGGGGGGGGGGGGCACACAAGGTTCTAACCAAAGTTTCTTGTATTGTACTTTGCAGGATCCAGGCTGAGGAAGCATCAGCACAAGCAGCCAGTCATCAACAGGCACTGAGTCCAGACAGCCAATCAGCCCGCATGAAGCCTCTCCCAACCTCAGGATGACCAACAACCCAGCTTCATGATCCGGATCAATTCTCCATAACAACCACTGTAAAAGCTGCTACACTGCAACGGCCGCAGTAATAACACTCTAAGAGGCTGCCAACGATTAACAATCAATCAATCTCATTGATTAACAAGAGCAATATAGTTAATAAACACAGTTCAGCCCCTGCATCGCTCCGAAAACGCAGCGAAGCTTTATGCAATATGTTTTCCTTCGACTCCGAGCCGAGATAGATCTCTGCACTGTCTGTGACCTGTAGGTGATTATATGCATCATTATAGCATGTAGATACAGTAGCTGTACCACTTTTATTCGCCGCAGGGCTGGGTATATTTAGAGCAGAACGCACGAATGAAACCTAAACCGGATGAAGTTTTATTATTTCAACACAGGCAGATGACAAATGAGCATAATCCATAAAGATGCAGCCGTTTGTGTTGTATAAGACGTGATTGTTGTGACAACACCAAACGTAGGATAGATATCTGGGCATGGGCAATATCCTAAGTTAAATATTGCAATATAGGATATTGTCATTAAGGTGTGTTTAAATATAATTTCTGTTTTATTTTATGTTTTAGATACAATACAATACTTCTCTATTTATTTTATGTTTGAGTTATTTGTACTATACAGTGAAATATTGTGATACTTGATCATATCAAATATTGCGATGTTCAATATCATTGCAGTATTTTATAGTGTTGAACATCACGATAATTGATATAACTGAATATCGCGCCAAGCCCATAAGTTACTGTGTACACACAAATGCTGCTGCCAATGTAAAACTCCATCTCAGTTCATTAATAATCTGGTTTACTTTGAGAAATTTACAGTTTCTAAGTGAATGAATCTGCTTTTCCATTTACCATTCTGTTGCACTGACACAATTTACACTCTGCAATTTGATACCCAGCCCTAACTCCCTGCTGCATGCCAACACCGACTGTTTATAGTGATGTCAGTGTCATTGAATGGTTCCTGAAAAAAGACTCCCTGTAGCCGATTTACTGAAGCGACTGTGTGTCTGTGTGTAAATGACGCGTAGCTCCCTGTACTCTGTAAATGCTGTATATACCGTTTGTCTGTATTTATTAGATGTGGTACATTTGTGCGTGAATGAGTGTCTACTGTAAACACAACTGTACTTGGACCGTGTGTGCGCTCAGCCTTTTGTAAACCTCTAGAGATCCTGTACAAAGATGTTTTTTAACTGAAGATAAATTCCATGTCAATACGTGTACAGCCTATTTTGCACATGTGCCGTTTTTCATTTTGTATTATTTGATCCTTTTGTTCATGCTCCATCATCAGCATTTTCTTTTTTTTGTCAGTATGCAGTAGTGACCTTTGTCCACTGAGAGGATTTATAATGATGGCGTAGCCGCGGCTGAGTTCCTGGGGGGGGGGGGCTCTAATTCTTCCTCCATTATTCTGAAGTTGGTGTGCAAACAAAAGGTTTGAAGCAACCCCTGGGGATGCGGTGTGTGGAAATAAGGATGAGCGCTCTTCTACAAACTCCCACTCACACACACACACACACACTCAGCAATGATTGCATCATGCCACATTCCTATGCATATCCACACACTGATGGTCTCTCTGATTGAGGGTGTGAGTCACATCCACACAAAACATTTCCCTGGTTCTTTTCTAACACATAGTTGCTCTCATGCTCAGCCATGTTTAGTGGGCCTAATGTTCTGTGTATGTTAATGAGGCTCAGGTGAAGTGAAACTCGGTGATGGAGGAGACTGCACACAGGCGCTCTGCAGGTAGTGTATCTGGGTGAGGAATAACTCAGCCTGGGGCACAGAAAACATGTTTACCAAGGATTTATAACCATTTCAGGCCCCCCGCCCCCACCCCTCATCTCAGAATGTGTTTACCACAGTGTAGTAGGGGACTGAAAGGAGGACAGCGGAACAGAGAATAGAGTTTGTCTCAGGGAAAAAGATGGAAAGGGTAACAGAAAGAAAGCCTGTGTCACAAACTGAAGTCATGTAGTTTGAAAATTACAGGATAATGAAATAATTATTATTTATTGTTTTATTTTGAAATACTCCAGGACTTCTGTTACATTGTGATGTCACAATGTCACAATCTGTTTACATTTCATTAAGGCTTAGTTGTGCATACTTGAGGGAGTGGCCTCTTTGGGTGAGACTGCTGCGTCCTCTTTGGATGGTGGGTTCAGGTGGGTGGGGCTTGGCGATGGCTGAGGGTGGTGACTTTTTGGTTGTGACATCACAAAGTCACACAAGTCTCGGCGGCTTGTTTTAATGCCTGGTTTCTGAATACAGTGACAGTGTGATACTTTCACAGTATATATTCTTGGGCTTTTTCGCAGCATTGCCAAGATGGCCAGCGAGTGGCATGACTTTCCTATAAGGACTTAACACCGAGTTCCCTACTGACCTTTGACCTCTACACCTCCCGCACTCCTACTTACAGCTCCTAAAATGAAGAATCTGGAAGCCATGTCTATCTATGAAGCCATTTGAGTGGTGAAGCTCGGCTTGTTGAGAGCCAGACCATGTTTAAAATCAATGACTCATAAAATACATATTTAAATTCGTACATGCACATGAAATAGCCTATAAGCAATGTCACCTTTACGTCTCTGCGACAGCCGTTCACCGACTGAGTTGTGTTTGTGTCACGTTGTTTTCACCGGAACTTTCCGGGTCACTTGCCGAGAAAATGTGTGTTTCATTTTCTGCATCCTTAAATGATTGTGCACCAGAGAGGGTTTTGAAATATTGCACAACTCATGCATGGCCTGAGCTCAGAAGTGTTCAAGAAGTGAACGTCCCCCCCCCCAGCCCACCCCTCCTCTTCTTCCCCTCTTCCCCTCCACAGACACTCAGGGAAGTTGGCCTCGGTCGAGAGGACTCGTTCGGGGAGAAAAAAATTGGACTCTTGATGTGTTAAACATCAAAGGCAGTGTGTTATTTTCTCCTTGAAATGGGCCGTGTGAAACGTGCATTTAAAGGAATGGGAATGAGAGGGTGGCCCGCTGCGCCTGGGCCGGAACTGGGCCGAGCAGA